GTGTTTTTTTTCTCCGTGAACTCTTCCATTCCTCCACTACCAAACCTGGCATACCTTTAGGTCATCCTGGCTGTTAATAGGACGTAAAGCAACGATAGAATCAATACCTTAATAAATTAATCGCGGAGAGAATACAGCAGGCAACGTATACAGTATGAAACATGTGTTAGTAACGCGCTCGCATTTAACCTTGGCGTCATGGGTTCGATTACCGCAACGGACATGAAAGGGTATGGGGTCACCTGCCCAATCATATGGGATTTCTTTTCACATAAATAATCTCACGCTTTCATCTGTTTCAAATAAAGTGATTAATATAGATCGGAATACTTTGTTTCGTTATTTTTGCAAATAAGTTGATACGTATATTGTATAAAACACGAATGTCTGGAAAATAATTGAATCTGTTTACGCAGACAAACACAAATAATAACAAATCCAATCTGTGTTCTTTCTAAACTTGTTCCTAGGTTTATGAAGAGAAATGCTGACATATACTTTAGAATCAGTTCTTCCTTGTTCTAGTTGTAAGTAATGTATATACACTATGATATCCACTACCAGGAGGTTTCTGATTAAATTTCTATCTTAATCCCATTATCTGAAATCTATAAGGAAGATTGTAGCTGTGTTCTGATTGTAATTTTTAGATTTAACGAAGTTAAAAATGACTTAATTGAACATTTGAAGCACTGAGGATATTTATGGCATTGGGTTTTAGTTTAGAGTCAAACTGGAACGTCAGAGTGTAGCGTCAAAACACTAACCACTGGATACATATTCAAATATCGCAATCGTTTAGAATTTTCTTTGTAGGACGTTTCGATGAGCAATGAAGCACATGCATAATTGTTCACCTGTTTTCTCTTCCTCTCTCAAATCTATTTATCACTGTCAATAGAAACTCCCTTAATTCATATATATATGTATTTGCTTGCCATTCGCGTTCATGATATTGCATTTCATTTCCGATTCCAATTTCAGCAGGGGTCGCAATAGTTCTATCGGTTAGGGTGTTGGCCACCGTGCGTAAATCTGAAGATCGGAGGTGCGTGGTTTGACTCTCCCTAACCGTGACGGTTTGTGTTTTCGGAATGCTGAGAAACGGACCAGTGCATGCTGATATTGTTTTTTCTTCGGCAAGATACGTTAACCTTATTGCTCTAGATGGCACATGACGTTCCATCCGAATATTACTCAGTGAGGTAGCCATCAGATACTTCAAGGATACTGTCTCAGTCTGACCCTGGCTGTTCACCATGTAATGCACCCAGCAAATAAACAACGGGGCCGATTGTATTGGATGTAGACAAATATACAGTAAGTTAGTCTCGTTCAGCCTGAGTCTTGTTGTCTCCACACGTTACGCCAACGGACTGATCAAGCCTCTAAGTGAACGAGACTACCTGTAATTCTGAATGCCCACGTTAATTGGAAAACCGCACACTGTGAAGGAGAATTCATAAAAAAGCGAAGTGCATTAGTTGACATATGAAAATTTATAGCCTTTCCAATAACGTATGTTATGTGAAATGGTTTTAATATCCACTGATGCACATATGAACTGTTTCAAAGAAAAAGTCACGTAAACCATCGTCTTTGGCAATACTTGTAATATAAATTTATTCGTAAGCTGAGCTCATGTCGAGTTGTTTACGTGTCTCACCAAGCGTAGGGATACGCCCAAATATTTAAAAGACGGACGAGAGTTTAAAGTTTGACGGGGCGGATAAACATCAGCTGACGCATGTTCTGTCGGCTTAACATTATTTGAAATGAAAATCGTACCAAACAAAGCACTTTAGAGAGGCTTCTCAAGTACCTTATGTAGCTAATTCGTAAAGGTTTTTGATAAGGAGATCTTCGTCGGTTCGGCGAGGTTATGACGTGCGTGCATCTCATCCTCATTATTGCATTGAAAGCTTCCATCGGTATCATTGATAGTCTCGAACCCACAAACATTAATAAAAAAATACAGTCATATCGAATTCAGAAAAAAAAACATAATCAAAATCATTTTCATCGTTTTGCAAATAAAATTCCTTTTTATGACTATTCAACAATTCAAGATGTAAAGATTTGATTTCCAAACTTGAAGCTAACATGTCGTTTAACACGTTGTACAAAAAGCCTGATATTTCTTCAATAACACCATGTTATTGAAAAGCCAAAAAGAAACAATTTTTTAGGGTTGTAGATTTTTCTTCTTCTTTCTTTACGTGTTTACAAGTGTGGAGAAATATCCAGTTGAAGCTTTTGTTCCGTTGTGATCAATATATATATAACCAGCTTCATAAAAGTGTAATATCGTCTTTACCGTCTATAAATAGCATTACTAGAGAATTTACTGAATAGCGCCATTATACATACATATATACAGTACACATGTACACCACGGAAGTATCAACGACACAGTGTGGACAAAATACCCTGTAAAATGTTTAGTGGCAAACTCCTGCGATTTTAGAAAATATGGAAAACTGAACACGTGACGATTGATAAGAAAAAATTACAATTTATAGATAGAGTATTTGTAAGTTTGTTTCAAAAGTCGTAAATGAAGAAGAAGAAGAAGAAGAAGAAGAAGAAGAAGAAGAAGAAGAAGAAGAAGAAGAAGAAAGAAGAAGAAGAAGAAGAAGAAGAAGAAGAAGAAGAAGAAGAAGAAGAAGAAAGAAGAAGAAGAAGAAGAAGAAGAAGAAGAAGAAGAAGAAGAAGAAGAAGAAGAAGAAGAAGAAGAAGAAGAAGAAGAAGAAGAAGAAGAAGAAGAAGAAGAAGAAGAAGAAGAAGAAGAAGAAGAAGAAGAAGAAGAAGAAGAAGAAGAAAAGAAGAAGAAGAAGAAGAAGAAGAAGAAGAAGAAGAAAAGAAGAAGAAGAAGAAGAAGAAGAAGAAGAAGAAGAAGAAGAAGAAGAAGAAGAAGAAGAAGAAGAAGAAGAAGAAGAAGAAGAAGAAGAAGAAGAAGAAGAAGAAAAGAAGAAGAAGAAGAAGAAGAAAAGAAGAAGAAGAAGAAGAAGAAGAAGAAGAAGAAGAAGAAGAAGAAGAAGAAGAAGAAGAAGAAGAAGAAGAAGAAGAAGAAGAAGAAGAAGAAGAAGAAGAAGAAGAAGAAGAAGAAGAAGAAAGAAGAAGAAGAAGAAGAAGAAGAAGAAGAAGAAGAAGAAGAAGAAGAAGAAGAAGAAGAAGAAGAAGAAGAAGAAGAAGTAGAAGAAACTTAAAGACTGAGTGTGTGCCATATAGTTACATAACCGGTCTGGTTTCCTGGTGAATTTAATTTCATATTAGTCCATGGTGGAAAATTGGTATGTTATTAAAAACGATTTCTATAAATGAATATTAAATAATATTATGTACATAAAACAGTCAATAGGCCTGAGGAGAATGGACTTGTATTCAATATAATCTAACACTCTTCTTATTTTGTCAAATAATTATCTATGTCTGTATATACGTTGTCATTAAATTACCTATGTAGTTAAACTTGTGCAATGAATATTTGAATTTTGAATTTGAATTTTATAATGAAATATTGGCTAAGTCTTTCCATCTTTCATGTGATGTTAATACACGAGACAGTGCGCCTGTAATAATCTAGGTCGTTGATATATCTCGTAACAATACTGACATAGTTCAGGGGTTGTTTTCGAGAATCATATTATTCAAAGCTTTCTTTGATTAAGGCCCTTACCAGTACTGAGGGATTCTTGGAAGACTGTTGTAATTACGTAGGTTTAGATCAGTCTTTGACCCTACCGTAAACACGCGTAATGTTGTATCGTTGTATTAAGGAGTGTTACTTACTTGTGTCTTCTGTTTAAGATTTCATTATTCACAAATAAAAGTCTTAGCGATGTTTTTTTTTCAAAGTTTAGCCCCTAACTGGTAGATAGTACATACCATCTACAATTGATTCGGGAGAGAGCTCGCAAACGAACGGATTATGCCGATCTATTGTTACTCACGATGGAATCACAAGTAAAAATAAATTGTTGAATTATTTAGTTCATAATCCAATGCTGTGGATTTTCATTCTATTACTGTAAATTTTTAATTTTTGAGAAATTAAATTTTCGTTGTTTTCTAGATAGGTTTAAATCACGAAAAAGTAATACCTCAATAAATAAAACTAACATAGTAAAGAAATGTCCATTTAAATTGTTAATGTGTTAAGGGGTTTAGGGTGGGGGTGTTGATGTGTGTGTAGAGGTTGAGGGTGAGGCTGGTGGTGTTGATATGTATGTAGGAGTTGAGGGGGTGGGGAAGGAGTGTGGATGTATGCGAGTGGGTTGAGTGTTGGGCTGGGGGTGTTGATGTGTTAAGGGGTCAGAGTGTTGGTAGGGGATCTTGATCTGTATATGATTGTGGGGGTTCGGGTTGATATGTGTGTAGGGGTTGAGAATACCCTTGGGGTGTTGATGTGTGCGTGGGGATTAAGGGTAAGGCTGGGGGAGTTGATGTATGTGTAGGGGGTGAGAGAGGGGATGGGGGAGTTGATGTATGTGTAGGGGGTGAGAGTGGGGATGGGGGAGTTGATGTATGTGTAGGGGGTGAGAGTGGGGATGGGGGAGTTGATGTATGTGTAGGGGGTGAGAGTGGGGATGGGGGAGTTGATGTGTGTATGGGTTTTGGTCGGGGTGCGAATGTCATCTATATCATAAGTAGCAGTGTCAAATGGGAAGTTTTGTCCAAGTCAACTTTCCCTCTCCCCGAACTTTCCCTCTTCTCGTACCTTCCCTCTCCCCGAACCTTTCCTTTCCTCTCTCCGAATTCCCTCTACCCGAACCTTTCCTTTCCTCTCTCCGAATTCCCTCTACGCGAAACTTCCCTCCCCTTGAACCTTCCCTCTCCTTAAACTTTCCCTCTCATCGAACGTTAACTCTCCCCGAACCTCCCCTCTCCCCGAACCTTCTCTCTCCCCAATCCTTCCCTCTCCCTGAACCTTCATTCTCCTTGAGGCTTCCCTCTTCCCGAACCTTCTCTCTCCCCAATCCTTCCCTCTCCCTGAACCTTCATTCTCCTTGAGGCTTCCCTCTTCCCGAACCTTCTCTCTCCCCGAACCTTCCCTCCCCCCGAACTTTCCCTATCCATGAACCTTCCCTTTCCCCGAACCTCTCTTCCCGAATCTTCACTTTCCCCGAATCTTCTCTCTCCCCGAACCTCCCTTCCCCCCAAACTTTCCCTCTCCATGAACCTTCCCTTTCCCCGAACATTCTCTCTTCCCAAATCTTCCCTCTCCTCGAACCTTCCCTCTTCTCGAACCTTCCCTGTCCCTGAACCTTAATTCTCCTCGAACCTTCCCTTTCCCCGAACCGCCCCTCTTCTTGAACCTTCCTTTTCCCCGAACCTTCTTTCTTCCCGAATCTTCCCTCTCCCAGAACCTTCCCTCTCCCAGAACCTTCCCTCTCCCAGAATCTTCCCTCTCCCAGAACCTTCCCTCTCCCAGAACCTTCCCTCTCCCAGAATCTTCCCTCTCCCAGAACCTTCCCTCTCCCCGAACCTTCTCTCTCCCAGAACCTTCTTCTCTCTCCCCGAACCTCCCTTCCCCCCAAACTTTCCCTCTCCCAGAACCTTCCCTCTCCCAGAACCTTCCCTCTCCCAGAACCTTTCCTCTCATGGAATCTTCCGTATACCATTCATGACCACTTCCCCAATCGTCGCTTCTCTTCCTTTACTGTAAATATACGAACATATTTTCTAACATTCAATCATTCTGATATAGATACAGCATAACGATATAAGTGTACTTAAATTACAAAACTATTTTGTTTGAAAGTAATTCAGAAAGGTAATCAGAATCGAAACACCTGTTACTCTTTCAAAGTAATCTTAGACGACACTGGCCAGCTTAGAATTCAGTATTTTACATACTACTCCGGTAAATCACAACACTAGAAATGTGTAAACCTTCGTTATCACGATCAAATTACCTTTGTCATCTGGTGTCTTGAACTTTATTCAACTTGTAATTCGAAAATGTTGAAAATTGACAGTTTGCGGGCGGGGCATTGAGGTTGTATTAGAGTTAAAAATCATTGTCGTTTCCCATTTGTGGTTTTCATATGACAACAAATATTGGTTAAAACGTGTCAGCAAAAACATGACAAAAGTCTTTGTTAATTTTGTGGTGTGTGTGACCCTCCCCATAAACATCCCAAGGTTAATCTCATCCTTATTGTAATCAAACAGTCCGTAACAATGTTAGGTGGGGTTGAGGGTGGAAAAAGGTCATGTTTGAACTCTCATTCATTTAGATAATTTTTTATGAAGAATAAAGGAAACTTAGTTGGTAAAACATGTCTGTATAGTAGTTGTGTATAAATTGTAGTGGAAATGTAATTACATCGCCATTTAATCGATTTTCCCTGGGGCTTTTCCCAAAATCCACGTAATCATCCTCACCTATACCAGTAACTCAGAGTTTCAGATAAATGCAATTTGATGAAGATACTGTAAAAGAATTAATTTTCGCGGGGGAATTATTTTCATTGATTTAGTGTGTGCTCTTAATCCACGAACCTATGTGTCCACTGTTAAGACAAGTATATGAGTAGAATTGTTATATACATATATGATAATATCATTATTATTATAAAACTATTAACGTATGTGTGTTTAGTCCTTCTAGGACACCTCATTGATGCTACATCATACAGCAGTCCTTCTAGGACACCTCATTGATGCTACATCATACAGCTGTTCTCTACTTCTAGGACATCTCATTGATGCTACATCATACAGTTGTTCTCTACTTCTAGGACACCTCATTGATGCTACATCATACAGCAGTCCTTCTAGGACACCTCATTGATGCTGCATCATACAGCTGTTCTCTACTTCTAGGACACCTCATTGATGCTACATCATACAGCAGTCCTTCTAGGACACCTCATTGATGCTACATCATACAGCTGTTCTCTACTTCTAGGACACCTCATTGATGCTACATCAGACAGGTGTTCTCTACTTCTAGGACACCTCATTGATGCTACATCATACAGCTGTTCTCTACTTCTAGGACACCTCATTGATGCTACATCATACAGCTGTTCTCTACTTCTAGGACACCTCATTGATGCTACCTCATACAGGTGTTCTCTACTTCTAGGACACCTTATTGATGTTGATGCTACCTCATACAGGTGTTCTCTACTTCTAGGACACCTCATTGATGCTACCTCATACAGCTGTTCTCTACTTCTAGGACACCTCATTGATGCTATATCAGAAAGGTGTTCTCTACTTCTAGGACACCTCATTGATGCTACATCATACAGCTGTTCTCTACTTCTAGGACACCTCATTGATGCTACCTCATACAGCTGTTCTCTACTTCTATGACACCTCATTGATGCTACATCATACAGCTGTTCTCTACTTCTAGGACACCTCATTGATGCTACCTCATACAGCTGTTCTCTACTTCTATGACACCTCATTGATGCTACATCATACAGCTGTTCTCTACTTCTAGAACACCTCATTGATGCTACATCATACAGGTGTTCTCTACTTCTAGGACACCTCATTGATGCTACATCATACATGTGTTCTCTACTTCTAGGACACCTCATTGATGCTACATCATACAGCCGTTTTCTACTTCATACAACCTCGTCTTCTAGTACTCGTCAGTGATGAAAACGAAACCTCGTTGTTATACAGGACATTGTAAATGAAAGACCTATTTTTTTATTTTGTGTATGTTACCGGAGGATACATAGTAACTAGAGTTCAACCTCGCCGGTTATTCAAATTTGTCCCAGTGTCCTAAAATAAAACAGATGGATATCGACCTGCATAAATGATAAGAACTTGAAAAAAAAAATTCATTGAAATTAATGATGATGATCACGATGAAGTATTGCGCTCGAATAGTATTGTGCTCGTTTTCTTTTATGCATATATTGTATAATTTGTAACATTCGCGGGAGATTGAATTTCGCGGGTAATAAAGATAGCATGACACCATCTACCCAGCAAACATCAGTGACAATCCCAGAAATAAAATGTTATTCCTTTTGTACATGGGTTCTAGATAAAAAAAACTATTACCCGTACAGTACAACAAACCGTGATAACCGCGAAGTATCCGCCCCGATTAATTTAACAGATATACAGTACAGTGTCAATTATTGATGATCAGTGTTTTCATCATTACGCGCTTCACGATGATGTGGTAAAATCTGATTACATTGACTGTATAGATACAGTGTATCGTGTCTCAATGCTTCTAGCGACCTTGTACATTGACCTGTATTACAAATAGATACCACAACATGTGTAGAAGTCTATCCCTCACAACCTTATCAAAAGTACATTGAGGTCACGTGCGGGGCTTTAAGAGATATGGACCAGAATACGTTACAAAATGACGATAGTTTATCCACGTGGGCTATCAATGTATATATTTACATTTCCAAATAATGGAGGTGTCCTTGAGAAAGAAGCCAGGGTCTTCCGCAATTTGTTCAGTGAGATAATAACCTGTTATGTGGAGATCGTACCTGAAAATATACTTCACTGTTCATAGAACAATGATAAACAAAAAATATACTGTACATCACTTATAATTCGCGTGGAATTTGTTTTAATACGCTAATACGCGATGAGAATCAATAGGATTACAGAGGCAATTAAACATTCCAAAGTGAACCATTGACAACAACAACAGAACCTACAGGTATAGTACCAAACAACAGGTATAGTACCAAACATCAGACACTGTAAACAACAACGGAACCAACAGGTATACTAACGAGCATCAGACATTGTAAACAACAGAACCAACAGGTATAGTACCAAACATCAGACAGTGTAAACAACAACGGAACCTACAGGTATAGTACCAACCAACAGGTATAGTACCAAACATCAGACACTGTAAACAACAACGGAACCTACAGGTATAGTACCAACCAACAGGTATAGTACCAAACATCAGACACTGTAAACAACAACGGAACCTACAGGTATACTAACGAACATCAGACACTGTAAACAACAACGGAACCAACAGATATACTAACGAACATCAGACACTGTAAACAACAACGAAACCAACAGGTATAGTACCAAACATAAGACACTGGAAACAACAACGGAGACAACAGGTATAGTACAAAACAACAGGTATAGTACCAAACATCAGACACTGTAAACAACAACGGAGATAACAGGTATACTAACGAACATCAGACACTGTAAACAACAACGGAACCAACAGGTACATTAACGAACATCAGATACTGTAAACAACAACGGAACCAACAGGTATAGTACCAAACATCAGACAGTGTAAACAACAACGGAGATAGCAGGTATACTAACGAACATCAGACACAGTAAACAACAACGGAACCAACAGGTATAGTTCCAAACATCAGACAGTGTAAACAACAACGGAACCTACAGGTATACTAACGAGCATCAGACACTGTAAACAACAACGGAACCAACAGGTATAGTACCAAACATCAGACAGTGTAAACAACAACGGAACCAACAGGTATACTAACGAGCATCAGACACTGTAAACAACAACGGAACCAACAGGTATAGTAAAAACATCAGACAGTGTAAACAACAACGGAACCTACAGGTATAGTACCAAACATCAGACAGTGTAAACAACAACGGAACCAACAGGTATAGTACCAAACATCAGACACTGTAAACAACAACGGAACCTACAGGTATAGTACCAACCAACAGGTATAGTACCAAACATCAGACACTGTAAACAACAACGGAACCAACAGGTATAGTACCAAACATCAGACACTGTAAACAACAACGGAACCAACAGGTATACTAACGAGCATCAGACACTGTAAACAACAGAACCAACAGGTATAGTACCAAACATCAGACACTGTAAACAACAACGGAACCTACAGGTATACTAACGAACATCAGACACTGTAAACAACAACGGAACCAACAGGTATACTAACGAACATCAGACACTGTAAACAACAACGGAACCAACAGATATACTAACGAACATCAGACACTGTAAACAACAACGAAACCAACAGGTATAGTACCAAACATAAGACACTGGAACAACAGCTTTATTAATTATAGGATAGTACAAAACTTTAACAGGTATATTACCAAACATCAGACACTGTAAACAACAACGGAGATAACAGCTTTATTAATTATATTGAACATCCAACACTTTAACAATTATATTGATCAGTCCAAAGCTTCATCAATATATGGTGTATCTGTCCAAAGCTTTATTAATTATATTGATCAGTCCAAAGCTTTATTAATTATATTGATCAGTCCAAAGCTTTATTAATTATATTGATCAGTCCAAAGCTTTATTAATTATATTGATCAGTCCAAAGCTTTATTAATTATATTGATCAGTCCAAAGCTTTATTAATTATATTGATCAGTCCAAAGCTTTATTAATTATATTGATCAGTCCAAAGCTTTATTAATTATATTGATCAGTCCAAAGCTTCATCAATCCTGGTGTATCTGTCCAAAGCTTTATTAATTATATTGATCAGTCCAAAGCTTTATTAATTATATTGATCAGTCCAAAGCTTTATTAATTATATTGATCAGTCCAAAGCTTTATTAATTATATTGATCAGTCCAAAGCTTCATCAATCCT